GGGGCGGGAGGCGGGATGGAGGGAGAACGGGCAGTCAGGGGAGCGAGGGGGGGCAGGAGGAGGTCGCACTTCGAGCACCAGGAGGTGGCAGCCTCTGTTAAGCCAGGGGCACATGGAAGATGAGTGAGCAAGGGGAAGGCGTCACATGGACAAGGAGAGATGCACTGCAGGGCGAGGAGGCAGAGGCACCCACCAACGTAGACGGCTGCCGGCGGATCTTCACGAGCCCAACAGGTAAACTTTCTCTGGTGAAACCACCAAGGTCACAGCAGGCAGAGGACAGTAACAGTGAGGATTCATCCTGCTTTTGGGGGTGGGGGGGTTAATCCTCACCCAAGGATACTTTTCCACTGATTTTTAGAGAGTGGGAGGGGGAGAGACAGAAACATCGGTGTGAGAGACACATTAATTGGTTGCCTTCCGCATGCACCCTGACCAGGGCCAGGGACTGAGCCTGAGGTATATGCCCTTGACTGGAATCGAACCCGGAACCCTTTAGTCCTTGGGCCAATGCTTAATCCACTGAGCCAAACCAGCCAGGGCGAGGGGTCCCTCCTTTTCAAACAGAACGTGTGGCAGTTCCCTTGGCACTTGCAGAAGTGACTTCACATGGCCCCCCATCAGCGTTGGGAGACACCTGAAGTAACAAGGTCCCAGCTGCGCACGACACCCCGCCCCTCACGGACACGGACAATTCCCCAACGTAGGGCTTGTTCTGTTAACAATCTCTAAAAACGTGTCCCCCAAGCTGTGTTCAAGAATTAAATCACGGGACGGTGCAATTAAAAGTTGACTCCCGAGCAGATCGCAGATCCTCAACATGACAAAGCAGACGTTTCAGAAACTTACACAGCAAGTTTCTGGTTTCAGGCCTGTGACCACAGCAGCGTGAGCGCCACTGGGCCCGAAGGCCTGGATCTTAAACAGAACCAGGCGTCAGCAGGGCCGACCTCCCCGCTCTCCGGAGGCGCGCACACCGTGCTGGCCCAGGCGCCGGTCTCCGCTGTTCCTGTGCCCGAGACCCGACAGCTCGGGCGGGAGCAGACACGGCAGAGCAGGGCGCTGGGTCGTGGAGAGTGGTTCCCATGGATGGGGCAGGGGCACTGACTACTATGAAGTCCCTCCCAGAAATATTCCCTAGGAGAAAATTTACTAGAAAATATTTTGCCTTGAGGTTACTTAAAATTGATCCAGGTTGATGGAAATCACACATGTTACGCAAAAAAGATGGAATCACAAAGGACCTCTAAGTTCTAAGATCAAAAGTACATTTATTGAAAACGTGGGCAGAGTTCAATATAAAAGGACAGCATGGAAGGAATAAAAACAAAGTACAAAACACTTTGCATCTTCAAATCCATAATTTAGGGACAGCAGGTCCTATTTACAGCCCTTCGCCTGTAGCTCAGGCTCCATCAAGTGGGAAACGTTTAAAAACCTGACAAAGGCTAATCCTAAAACCTTGATGGGGCTCTTTAAATCATTTAATACAAACATAATTTATGTTCCTCAATAAAATCACACATCTTCAAAGATGCAGTATAATGACACTGTTCTCCTGCTTTAAAACGCTGGTCCCTACGGCAGCAGCTGGAAAACGAAGGCTCGGGAGGGAGCAGAGGCCGGGCCGCGGCCGACAGGACACTGGCCTGCAGGACCCTGCGCTCTGGACCAGGCACCACGGCAGAGGCGTCAGTGGAATTTATACGTAGGCTGCTGAGGAAAACCGCTTCCCAGACAGGGCCTGCCTCCACTCACTGTGTGGACCTCCCATTTCACCGCCGCTCGGCCCCTCCCAGGGAAGGGGGCACCCCACATCAGGTCACCTGCCCAAGTGACCAGCCCCTCCCAGGGAAGGGGGCACCCCACACCAGGTCACCTGCCCAAGTGACCAGCCCCTCCCAGGGAAGGGGGCACCCCACACCAGGTCACCTGCCCAAGTGACCAGCCCCTCCCAGGGAAGGGGGCACCCCACACCAGGTCACCTGCCCAAGTGACCAGCCCCTCCCAGGGAAGGGGGCACCCCACATCAGGTCACCTGCCCAAGTGACCAGCCCCTCCCAGGGAAGGGGGCACCCCACACCAGGCTCACCTGCCCAAGTGACCAGCCTGCCGGCGGCCCAGTGGGCACCTGTGAAGCTACACAGGTGACCGAGCACAGCCCAGACTGAGCCCGCCAGCCCACACCTGCTCCCCCGACTGGGCACAGTGCATGAGGCTGCATTCAGGCCACAGGGATAAAAAAAGGCCTGAGATGACACCACCAAACCCCCAAATCACTTTGTTTTGTGAATCTTCACCTGAGGACATTTTTTCCATGGACCTTTTTCTTTTCAAGGGAGAGTGGAACGGAGGGAGGGAGTAGGGAGGGAGAAAGACTGATCGAGAGACACATCAGCTGGCTGCCTCCTGCACGCACCCAGACCAGGACCAGGGAACGAACTTGTGTCCCAGGTACGAGCCCTTGACTGGGAATGGAACCCAAGACCCTTTGGTGCATGGGTTGGCACTCTAACCACTGAGCCACTGGTCACCTCCCCCCCTTCCCCCACACATCACTTTTCAGGCAATTCTTCCTTCTGAAAGCGAAGGCAGCACAGAACAGGCCTCACCAACATGGCCGTGGGCGGAGAAGGGCTCTGGCACTGATGCACACACTGAAAACAAGACCCCGACTGCCAGGTCCCTGGCCTCTCGTCCCCGTCCCCATCCCCATCCCTGTCCCTCTGGCTGGGGCCACGCCCTACCGCACAGACCGACCCCCACTGGGCAGCGCGGGGCTCTGCCGCCTCCTCACAAAGGATATGACTCGTAGTCCAGCGTCTGCGTGAGCACCCCCGTGAGCACGAACTCCGCGTTGTGAACATCTGAAAGCCGCAAACAGGCAGTGAGCGGAGGACAGGGGGGGAGGGTGCTCCGCACCCCGCACCCCGGGGGCAGCACTTACCGAGGCCTCGGGCAAAGTACTCGCGGCACAGGTGCAGGTCGTTCTCGCAGGAGATCAGGACGATCTCGGACAGACTCTGCGGGAGAGAGGGAGAGTCGGAGCCTGCACAGGGGCACCGGGCTGAACTGGGGCGCCGGGCCGAACGGCTGCTCCCGCGGGGCCCACCTTATTCTGCTTGTGTTCCAGGAGCTTCCGGAAGGACGGGGGTCTGGACAACACCTTTCCTCCCGCACACTCCACGATCGCCTTCATAGTCAACAGGCTGGGGCAGATCCCAGGAGTGATGTAAAAATATTTTGCCTAAAATAAAAACATGGGCATGATGTTTTGCCAGCGCTCTGACTTCTGGAGCACACCACTTTTCACACACGCCCTCCCGATGATCCTGACAGACGCCCGCTGTCCCCAGGCCGCGGGCCGGAGGGACAGGCTGACCGGGATCACGGGAAGTACCCAGAACTCACGGCCCTAAGGCACGACGTCCTTTGGGACATAAGCGAGAGTAGCAAACACTTTTCCCAGTTCCTGTGATGCTGTAACCAGCATCGTGTCACCCCCGATGGCCTGTCCATCAGGACAGGACAGAGCTCCTGCCAACTGCCTACCGGCCAGCGGACCCACAGGCAAGAAGTGCTGGGGTGACGGGTCACTCCCCCAGCACCTGCTCCCAAGTGTACGACACACACCGCAGTTCTACAGTGCTCGTGGGGAAATAAGCCGAACATTTAGAAAAACCAACCAGGCTATTTTAACTCACTAGTGCCAATCGTTTCGGATTTCTCAGCTGGCTCCTCAACAAATGTAAAAAGCACATGATCCTCATTACTTACTTAGCCACTCTGACACCAAACATCCCAAACGGCTCTAAGCATCCTATTGGACAAATATGTAAATATCCTTCGCCTGGATGACTTAGGCGCAATTAATATTTTCACAAGACTCCTCCCTTCTCCAACACGTTCAATGGCAACAGTGTCAGCTACTGTTAACGCACACAAACCAACTGAGATGTCTTGTGCCAACTGGGCGATGCAAGCACGCCCTCAGAACCCAGGCACGTGATGAGGCCTGTCTTGGGCAGGTCTGCTCCTTCCGCGTGGCACCCACGCTCCAGTCACGAGAGCACCCTGGACGCACACCCAGGAGGACGGGCCACAGGGTGCAGGCCTCCCCCCGAGGCCTCCGTCTGCACAGACTTCGGGCTTTCCCTCGGCGCCAGGTCACCTTGAAGAGTGGAGACACGTGCGCCCTCTTCAAGGACTCCTCCAGGCTGAACGAGAAGAGCACCTCCGCCTCCGCGTCCCGCAGCAGGTAGCTCTGCTCATCTGGAAAACAGCAGCGCTCAGCGTCGGCCGCCCCGCAGGCCCCACTGAGCTCCGCCCACCCGCAGGCCCCACTGAGCTCCCGCCCAC